ATCATTGCTGGCTGTGGAATTCTGGGAGTTGAAGTCCACATGCCTTAAAATTGTCAAGGTTGAGAAACACTGTTCTAGATCAGTGTCTCTCAACCTCCTAGGCAACTTCAACTCCCAGAATTCCCCAGCCAGCCAGATCTGATGGGAGAATTCCTGAAATATGCATGCAATGCATTTAAATAGTCTATAATGTTACAAAGAGATAAGTAGAAACCACTGTAATTATTTTATAGGCTTGTGCGAAGCATTCCTGATGGGTTATTTGAAAACCAGTGAGCATGGGGAAAGCTTCTGTCCTCCAAGGGTTAAAATAGCCTGATTCTCTAGAATGCTTTCTCAGCTGCTTCACAGCTGTTTGTGCATACATGAGCATGCACAAACAACTCTTCTGCCAGGATCATCAATGAAGGGAAGGGGCTGTATGCTTACATACAGAAGAGACAGCTGAGGGCAGCCTTCTAAAGAGTGATAGGAGTCTTCCAAATGTACAGTACTTTAAACTGGAAGAAGAGGTGCTAGCATGATTTACAAAGCCTGTCTTTCTAAAGGTCCTGTACAGACATTGTTACATTTTATTTAGCTTAGTCTATACCTGGTATCTAGTATTGTCAGTCTTTTGCACAAATAATTACAATTAAATATACAATGACTTATGTATTGTAAAGAAAGCAGAAGCAAATTAACACCTGGACATTTTTTTCAGGATTTAGTGCCTCGCTTCCCATTATATGCAAGCTAAATTTTACTGCTATGTCAACTGCTCTCCAGGATTTCTGAAAAATGGGCTTAATGATATCATTAGAGCCATTATTTGCATTTTCAAACTAAAATAAAATATGTTGACAACCATGAAACTCCAAAAAGAAAAATCCTATGGGGCATACCCAGTGCTAGTAATATAGAGAGTAAAAGCTAATTATTTGTATATTTTTATGAATGTTTAGGAGACTATTTCTTCTCCATTTCAGTTCTGTCCTATATTCAGAAAAGGTTTACCACTTCAACTTCAATTATTAGTGTATGCTGCACAAGGAAGGTCTATTGTGTTTCCAGTGATAGGGAGGAATAAATATGACTTACCTATAAGGAATAGAATATTTATAACCATGTTACCAAAACCAAGTATTTTCATCAAGGATGCAAAAATTATCAACTCTCTTACCAGGAAGTAGTCCTTGTGGAACACAGCAAGATTCTTGAATACATTATTCAGACAAAAAAATTGTTGACATCAAAAATTTATGAATGGAATTAAAATAAGTAACATTTATTGTTCCTTCAATAAATTATTACCATCTTAAAATCCCCTTTCTCTAAAACAAGGTAGAAGTATTAGTTATTCTACATTAGAGAATGTTGTATAAACAGAGCTAGATAACAGACATGGAATGGAGCCCAACTCAGCAGCCCTGTTATAAGGAATGAAGCTGACAAGGCAATTCTGTTCTGAGCTACAGACAAGTGTTCTCTAATGTCAACAAAAACCAGGTGGTTTTCAAGATTCTCAAGAAAATGGCAAGAATCTGTTGATTCAGAAAAAAGGGAGAAAAAAGCCTAGACTGTAAAATCTTGAGTATGTGTGTGTGTGTGTGTGTGTGTGTGTGTGTGTGTGTATGTATGTATATATATATATATATGTATATATATGTTTTCTGAGGTTTTCGCGGGTATTTGTATGTAGGTCTTTGGTTGTTCGGGTTTTCTCCCACGTAAAATTGGAAGTGTCTTGGCAACGTTTCGACGAAGTCTAATTCGTCATCTTCAGGCTGGTGTTTTCAGCTTCGTGCTTTGAGCAGCAATATATATATATATAAAGCATATATATATGCTTTAATTTCTGCATACTGCAGTAGGTACAGTAGATCTTTGGGGTGTATATGGCTTCATTCTTGTTGGCAGTAAAGAAGCTAATCTTATCCAGTTGTGCCTGACAGCCTTCTCCTGAATAAGCCAATTTCTGAATAAAGGATTATATTTGGAAAATTGAGATTAAGAGCTGAGCTTCTTGTGAAGCCTGATATATGCAGTACATCCTAAAGTATACATTATAAATTCAAATAAATATCCCAAACATTCTTTGTTATGGTTGTGGGGATTTAAAAAATGACTTAGAATTGCTACATACGTCACACAAGAACAGCAGGTCTCTGCTATGCATTAACCTAGCTTTTGATAGGCTTCCATAATTATCTGGAAGAATGGTACCAATGCTTTAACAGTAGCATTCATAGGTTTTGTAAAGCCTAAGCACATTTCTTTCATACAAGCCACCAAGAAATGAAGCTACATAAACAAGTAGCAGAGTAGTACTGCATTTTTATTTGCATAATGCCTGAAGTGTTTCTTATGAACAATACAAAATACAAGGATACTTGAGGAATTGGAAGAGAGGAAGAGAGAAGAGCAGCAAAGATGATGAGAGGCTTGGAAGCTAAATTTTATGAAGAGTGGTTAAAAGGATCATTGTGTATGTTTAGCCAAAGAGAAGACAAAGGAAAACATCATCATTGTCTTCCAATACTTGAGGAGTTGTCACACAGAGGAGTATGGATTTATTCGCTGTGCCTCGGGTAGTCGAAAAACTAATAGGTTGAAGCTTTACACAGAGAGATCCAAATTCAAAATGAATAATTTTTTGACCATGAACATTACTAAAGAGTAGAACAGCCTACCTCCTAGAACAGTGATGGCAAACCTTTTAGACACCGAGTGCCCAAAAACCGCCCCCACTCGCTTCACCCACCCACAGGGCCACCTACCGCCTTCACGGCCCGCTGCAGATCACCCAGGCAGCCCTGCAGTGCCATGGCGGCCATGTCCTCCACCCGCATCCCGCAGCATCATCTGCGCACGACGGGGTGCAAGGGCAGAGTCTTGTCCCCGCTGCCCGGCTGCCATGTCGTTGGCTGCGCTGCTCTGCATGGGCCAAACCTGGAGGTGACTTTCCTCTGGGGGGGCTGCTGATGAAAAGGGGGCCACAGGGGGAGGCGAGGCTGGGGCAATGGCATGCGTGCCCACAGAGAAGGCTTTGAGTGCCACCTCTGCCACGCGTGCCATAGGTTCGCCGCCACTGTCCTAGAGTCTTGAGTGTTTCATCACTAGAGATTTTTAAACAAAGGTTGGACAGCTATTTGTCTGGGTTGCTCTGGAGATTTGTCGGGCCGTAGTAGAGGCCGTTTGGGTTACCTGCATCAGCGAAGCCTCTACTGCCTGGAACGGCGTCCAACCGGCCCGACATCCAGCTGGTTGGTGCGCATGCGCGGAAGCTGCTTAGACCGGCCCGACATCCAGCTGGCTGGCGTGCATGCGCAGAAGCCGCTCCGACGCTCAGATGTTACTGCCGGAGCCGCACATGCGCACAAGACATTCTGACCAGACTAACGCGTGCGCAGTTGGTGGAATCAATGGAAGTCGCGTAATCCCTGTGGGAGGGCACTAGACGGAAGCCGCTTCTACTAATTAAGACTGTGAGGCTGCAGAAGCGTCGGGAAAGCGGCCGAGGCGTCGGGAAGCGTTAGGAGGCAGTGGCCACAGGTCATGTTAATCGGATGCAGTACCATATAGGGGTGTTGGGTGGTCTGGAAGAGGGTGGTGGCGCATGGGCGGTAGCAGGGGTGTGGGCTAGGCGGGGCCGTTGTAAACTGTATAAAGAAGCCATGAATGTAATGGTTATCAGTGCTGTCTTTAATTCATTACTTTACTGAAATAAACTGGAAGTTCTTCGTTCCTGACGTGGTGATTCTGACTCAGTTACTTGTGTGTCAAGACGAGGCAACCCACAGGGCCACCTACCGCCTCCACGGCCCGCTGCAGATCACCCAGGCAGCCCTGCAGTGCCATGGCGGCCATGTCCTCCACCCGCATCCCGCAGCATCATCTGCGCACGACGGGGTGCAAGGGCAGAGTCTTGTCCCCGCTGCCCGGCTGCCATGTCGTTGGCTGCGCTGCTCTGCATGGGCCAAACCTGGAGGTGACTTTCCTCTGGGGGGGCTGCTGGTGAAAAGGGGGAGGGGGAGGCGAGGCTGGGGCAATGGCATGCGTGCCCACAGAGAAGGCTTTGAGTGCCACCTCTGCCACGCGTGCCATAGGTTCGCCGCCACTGTCCTAGAGTCTTGAGTGTTTCATCACTAGAGATTTTTAAACAAAGGTTGGACAGCTATTTGTCTGGGTTGCTCTGGAGATTCCTTTTTTGAATAAGAAGTTGAACAAGAAACCTCCAAGGTGCTTTCAACCCTATGATTTTATGAATATGTTTTTTAAGTCTGCCCAACTTCATTATATTATTCTTTACAAGTTACTTCACTGTCTTTCAGAGGCTATAGCAAGTTCAGCTACACTAAGCAATAATTTTATCATGCCCACTCAACAAAATTTTCTTTTTGAATTTACTATATTATGCAACATACCAGAAGCAGTAAAAATCTTATATTATGTCTGAGCAGAAACAGCTTCAAGTCAATACAAAATTGTAAAAGTTTCTGGATGATTTTTGGCCAGTCATTATCCCTAAGTCAAACTACCCACAAAATGGAATTGGGGGGGAGGGACTTTTTAAAAGATTTTTTCATCCTATCTTTATTAGTTTTATAAATAAATCAAGACAGCAAATGTAGCTAATACTCAGTCTTCCTACCATTTTCCCTAAAACAATAAACTTATGATATGGGTTGGGCTAAGAGAGAGTGGCCCAAAGTCATCCAGTCAGCTTTCATGTGTAAGGTAGGACTAGAACTCCCAGTCTCCTGGTTTCTAGCCTGCTGTCTTAACCACTAAGCCAAATTGGCTCTACTTACATGGAATGTCTAGGTGGAAAAGGTAGTATAATTATGTATCTCTGTAACAACAACAGTAATATAACATGAATGGTATCAACTGAAAATAAAAACCTCTGCTACAGCTACAGCTTCTATAATTAGCACTCAATTGTCAACATTTCCAAAGATGTAGTGTATGGCAGGGTTTTTAGTCACACCCAGCAAATGATAAGCTCTGACAGAGCTAAAAATATGAAGCTGCTTTAGCTGATCAACTAGTAGGCAAGAGGAGAAACAGCTAGAAAGAAGATATTATCTCAGGATTCCGTTGTGTTCAAAGAGATTATCAGCACTATCTCATCAATGGAAAAAGTCGTTATACGTCACCGGGTAGAAACTCCAATACGATATCAGGAGCACTTTCCTGATCAAGATTTGGAAGCTTGGAAATTAAACCACTCCTTGTTTGCATTGCCAAGTCCAGCAGGGCCCGCAAAGATAAGGAACATACAGGCATCCAAGAGTGCGGCTGAAACGGAGCAGAAAAGCACAGATGAAGCAACCACCAATTTTCAAGTCTTACTAGATGTAGTGCAGTTTCGTCCTGAAGATGTCATAATACAAGTCTTCGAAGGGTGGCTCCTAATCAAAGCTCAGCATGGACCCAGGATGGATGAACAGGGCTTTATAGCAAGAAGCTTCACTAGGCAATATAAATTGCCAGATGGCATTGAAATGAAAGATCTGAACGCTCTCTTCTGTCACGATGGCATTTTAGTCATTGAAACTAAGACATTTGGCAGTAAATAAATTCTTGACCGTTTTGTTACTGGTGAGACAATCTTATTCCTCCTTCTAATGTTGAGCATGCATATTTGCAGTTAAAGCAAGCTTTCACATCCTTTTATTCAGTTTGTTGAAAAAAAACCATTTGATGAGCTTGTTTGCATGACGTGAGAGACAATATTTTTCTCCTTACAACTGCATGCAGACTTTCTTAACAATTTGACAGAATAGAGCTTAAAAGGAAACACGGCAGATATAAAATAACATATAGATCTACAACAGAGAATGAAAATTGAAGACTGCATTTAAGGTCTCGAAGCTTTATACTGAAGGAAAAAGTTAATTAAATGGTCTGCTGTATAAGTTTCGCCGCAAAGCAGTTCATACTCCTGAAGAAACAGGGCTACCAATCTAAATAATGCTAAACAGTCCCAAATATATGCAAATATGTTATTTATTGCATGTAACAATTCAACTTCAAAGAATTATTGTTTCCCCAAAATATTTTTTGTATGTGTTTCTTTGAATACTTGAGTATTCTGATTTTGGTAGATAACAGCTGTTTAAATCTGACTGCCTTTTTCCAAGCATAGTTATGATAAGTACCAGTATTATTGCCATTCTAAGTATAGTCAAAGAATTCAGAAAAAGATCCAAGCTAAATACAGGCTTTTATTAGAGGCATATTTGTAGACTCTGAAAAAAAGAACAAAGTTGCCGTTGATTTATCTATGTTTCAAAATATTTTTAAAAGACCAAGTCTTGATCTAGAAATACTGATCAAAGAGTTCCATTAACACCGGCTATGGTTTCTGTTAGATTATCTCTTGGGAGAGTGAAAAGGGAAAAAAAAAACTTTAAGGGTCCTGAAATCCACAGTTCCTTCTCTTAGGGATGATCAGTATGGATACAGGGCTGACTGATTCTTCATTAAAGGCCTCCCACAGTTCCACTTAGTACTTCCATGGTTTATATTTCAATGGAATGATGTTCAAATAGGTATATCTTTTACCAATGTATCATTGGTTGGGCTTGGCCAAAAGAAAGTTGAATTTCATTTTGCTTAAGAACCATTTTGTATACTTTCTCCACTTTACTTACACATTTACAGATGATGTTCTAATTGTGCACTTAGGAAGACAGCTTTGTATTTATATTGTAGGATACCATCTAAGAAAAGAAATCACACTGGTGTGTTGAACAAAAACAACACCAAGACAAAATGGAAAATAGCTCATCATCATCATCATCCTTTATATTAATAGCATCTTTAAATGCCTTGTTTCTAAATCTGCTTTTAAAAATAATATATGGCTACTTGGACACACGTAGACATATAATCTGCTAATAAAAATTATTTATTATAACAGATATAATATTGTTGGAAAAATGATGCAAAATTTATGTTTAGAAATATTAGGCTTATATTTCTGAATTTTGTCAAGGGCAAAACTGCTACATAGTCAGCAATGCTTTTGTAATTAAATGATGTATTTGTTTACAAGGATGTCCAGCTTCTAAGTCTCTGAGTGGTAGCAAAATAGTTATTGACAAAACAAGAAACATATTGTATTATTTATAGTTACGTTTTTCTTCTGATTTCATTATGTCTAATGTTTTGCTGATATTTCTGTATTCTGTTTGCTATACATTGTGATTATTTCTATAATTTGTTACAACCTCATAAAATAACTATTATAGAATATATAATATATATAATATTATAGACTATTTGAAAGTATAACTACTACTTGTGACAAGGTAGTAATCTGTTAAGATACAGAGATATAAGAGACATGCAAAAAGCTACTAATACTGTTTATGAACAGAAGTGAGATCATGTTATTAGTACCGTGTCACTGCATGATATGCATTTCTTCACCAAATTTATTAAGATCCCCTTCTCCACAATGACTCGTGATATTTCAGAAACCAGAGATCTCAGAGTAATAATCAGTACCCTGATTTGCATTCAGAAGCAGCAGAACACAAATGTTATGATGGTTTGCCCATAATTGCCCATTCTGAACTAACTGCAGCTTTCATATAGTTTTCAGGGACAGCCACAAGTAAATTGCATTCCAATATCCAAACATGAAGTAGCCAAGTAACCATATGGCATAATGCAACACAGAAATATACTTTTGAAGCTGCATGTTAAATTTCTTCAACTGCTTTGGGCATAAATAAAATCCATATTTCATTAAATAAATTAAAAGCAGATTTGTATAAGTTAAAGAATTCACAAAAACCACTCTATAAATACAAGATTATTTCTTGATCTGAATGTTAATATTTCTTTTGGCAAAGTTCACCTTGCATCTATTATTACCTTTGTTAAAAATGCAAACTTTATGAACAGTGAAATACCAGTTCAAACCATACAGAGAAAAACATGTTTATTATGAATAAGGGAATCAGTTCCAATCCTATTTAAGTACAGTAAGTACAGATTTTTTTTATATCATCACTTCAAAAAATTACTTCCTTATCAGCAATCAATTCACTCCTATTCAACCACTTATCTCACTTCAGAAAATTAAATAGTCTCCAAATTGATTCAGGTTAATTTGATTCAGAAATTTGATCAAACTGACTTTGAATATAATCTCCAAAACAATGATATGCACTATATGCACTTCATCCTATTTATCTGTAAGTTATTTTAATTATGTCAGCCAGTTTGATGTAGTGGTTAAGGCATCAGCCTAGAAACCAGGATACTATGACTCTCCCCTAGACACAAATCCATCTGGGTGATCTTGGGCCAGTCACTTTCTCTCTGATCTAGGAAGAAGGCAATTTCAAACCATTTCTGAAATCTTGCCAAGAAAACTGCACAGACTTGTGCAAGGAATCTCCAAGATTCAGACAGGATTGAACAGCAGGGTTTTTTTTAATTAAATCACCATTCATTTGTTACATGGCAGCAATTTTATAGAATTGTATTTAACTCTTCAGCAGATGCGTACTGTTAATGCTTTTAGCTTTTTTTGTTGTTGTTGTTCTGAATTCTTTTCAATTTTGGTGACCTGAGCCTGGAGCCAGCCCGGAGCCAGCCCTGTGGTGAGATAAGCTAAAGACTGCAAGTTGTATCACAAAAGTTGTTATTCAATTTTGCCTAGTTATGAGGCATGCTTGGTGAAACTTTTGCATTTTTATAACCCTGAGGACAAATCTGGAAATAGGTTAAGATTTGCCTCATACTCCAAATAAAAATTTGCATTCCTCTTTGCTTGTAATGCTGTGTCATGATCAGACTTGCAAAAAAAATTAAACAAAAGATTTGGAAAACTGTAAAGATTTCTATCTTGAAGCACCTCAAAGACTACATCATTCCAGTGTATACTGTTTAATTGAAACAATCCCTGAAAGCATTTTTCTATGACATCTGCTGAAGCTTGTTTATATTCCAAATAAGGAAATTGGCAATGCAAGTTCTCTTCTCCCACATATATGATTTGAATTTGTTCCAGAGCATCTTGGCAGGCACCAGCTCTTTCTATCTTGTTTAGTCTTGAGTGATTAACAAAATTTTCATTTGCCCCATTTATTTATTTATTTATTTATTTATTTATTTTTATTTATATGCCGCCCAATCCCAAATTTTTTGCCGGTAATGGCGAAAAAGCTCTGATACATTGCATGAGTTTGACATGTCTGGGATAGAGTATGAGTTTGAACTGAAAAGACTAGCAGTCTTAGGCAGTCAAACAACAACTCTGTATTAATACTGTAGTCTGAGCAGAGGAAAGTCCCGAGCATGTGATGAAATGTGCCTATTTGGAAAATAGATCAACCACAGTCCATATTATAGTGTTTCCCTTGCTCTCAGGTAATTCCACTATAAAATCCATGGCCAGGATTGAGAGGGATCAGCCATCTGATACAAACAGAGTTTTTAGTTTTTCAAACACTGCAATGGCTGACAAGGTCAGGGTTCTTCTCCTTTTTTGCATGTTTTGAGTAAATTGGTGATTGGCATGGCTATTTTTGCCAAAGAGGGAATAAATTAACGATAAAAGTTGGCAAATGCCAGAAAACTTTGAAGTTGCTTGCAGGTGCATGGGGGTTGCCATTCCAATACTGCTATAATTTTGGCAAGGTCCATCTCTACCTCCGCATTTGAAATCTGATACCCATGCCAATCATACTAATATACCATGGCCATATACTAAATAAATAAAGTCCAATATGCTTGCTTACTTGGCTGTCTCTTTCTCTCTCTTTCAACTGATATGATCCTTAGTCCAAATATAATTATGGTTTCTTCAGAACCACAGGAGAAGGAGCTGCCCTGGGGGTCTCTTTACCATGAAAGAAGAAACAGAAAAGGAAGAAGAAAGAAACTGCTTCTAAAGTTTTCAGACATCTCCTCAAAATATCAGAATCAATAGAGAACAAAATAATTAGTATTTCTACTTAATAGCATTCTTCAAAAACAGACTGCAAGTATTGTTTTCATAGCTGGTGAGGGAAATAAACTGCATTTTGGCACATCATCCTTGTCAAAAGTTGGCAAGATTGTATCTGGAGCCTTCTGAACAGTTATCAAAGCTCTCTTTTTAGACTTGTGCAGATCTATCAGCAGCTAAATATTCTGGCCATGCAATAATTTGGAATAACATCTGAGATTTTGCCAACCAAGAACAAATTTTCCTTGAAAACATGGGATTTGTTCAGATTTTATTAAATATGTATTTAGGAATAATTACTCTTACAAGGATCATTTTCTTTATATTTTGAATATTGCAAATTGTAAAACCCTGCTTAATGGTGAAATAATTAAATTCTAAACTTCTTTCTTTCAAAGTAACCAACTTCTCCATGAAAATGCAGGCTTTAATTTTATTGATTTAAAATTATATTATTTGGAATATGTTTCTGGTCTTTTTTTTGTATTGGAAAAGAAAATATAGTTATTATATATTGTCAAAGGTCCAATTGGACAAGCTTTTATTTGATCCTTTTGAAATTTTGGAAAGTACTTTGTAGTCAGAACCCTATTGTATTTATAACACTGAAGCTGGTTAGGCATATTCGATGATATCAGATAAGATACAATTAAATTCTTATTCCTGCTTTCACAAAAAACTAACCCTTATTTAAAAATGGCAACCTTACAAAAAAAAAGTAAAAGAGGAGGGGTAAAAATGGGATAATAAATTCTAAACAGCTAAATCAAACATGTCAAACTTGAGACATCACGTGACGTCACACAATGTATCGAGACGGTTTTGCCATTGCCGGCAATGGGGTGGGCATGGCTTCCATATGACGCATCTGGCACGCGGGCCGGCAGTTTGACACCTCTGAGCTAAAATTGCTGATACATTTAAAACTTTTGAAAAGATATACATATAATTTGTCAGTAATTGCTACAATTCATTTAAATGATAATTCAGTTTTATTCACAACTGCAAAATGTCATTAAATATATATATGATAATACTGCTTATTTTACAAAAGCAATGGTCTGAAGATTCAAAAAAGATAAATATATCTTACCACATTAGAATGAATTTAATTCGTCAAAAATGCTCAGTTCTAAGGAATTCAACAGTTTGTTACAATATTGATTGCCCATCTTCTTATGCTGGAGATGCAACAGATTTTTGCATTAATATTCCTACTTTTGATAGTTACTTTTCAGCTGAATATTCCTACTATTGTAAATTAGGTACTTGGTAGGAAGTTGTGATTTAAAGATGTTGATATGTTGATAAATTATATTCCCCAAATTTGGAATTTGTCTATCTATGAACTTTCTATTGAATGTACTTAGACTATTCCCAAAACGGTCATCATGTGTTCTTGGAAAAATGCTAACATACTAGATGCCAAACATTGGCTTAAAAATGTGCCAACTCTCAGCCTTTGAACTGGTTCTTGAACAGTGTTAAAAAGCATTGGACAATATGATTCCTGTGGTCACGGTCCATTAAATTGTTCAAAAACTGTATTGTAGAAATGTTTATATAACTATACTAATATTGTTGTATCTAATGTCTTAAATTCCTGTTTGCTCCTTATTTGTTATCTTATTCAAACCATTCAATTAAGGAGAATTAAAATTAGATGATCATGTAATGTATATTCAGTGTTCTGATATGCTTTTATGGTTTTTATTGCTTAGAATAGAGCTGCCTCTAATCTCTTAAACAGGCAACATATAATACAAATAAATAAAAGAGAAACTTTATAAACTTTATGAGAAAGTTTAACTTCATCCTACATAATCAAGTTTTCCATGTTTCCCTGATCCCCAAACTGGTTTTGATTTGAAAACATACCATTTATTAACTTCTTGAGCAACAAATATTATTTCCCCTTGCTTGCTGATTCTGCTTCCAATGCAGTATGTCACAGAAGATATTAATGTACAGGTAGTCCTTGACTTACAAACATTTGCTTAGTGACTGTTTGAAGGTTTAACAGTATTGAAAAAAAGTGGCTTATGAATGTTTTTCACACTTATGACCATTGCAGCATATGGTGCTTGGCAACTGGCATGTATTTATGATGGTTGCAATGTCCTGGGGTCATGTAATTACCTTTTGCTACCTGGCAAGCAAAGTCAATGGGGAAGCCAGATTCATTTAACAACTATTTACTAATTTAACAACTTTTTAACAACATTTATTAACTTAACAGTAATTCAGTTAACAACTTTGACAAGAAAGGTCATAAAATGGGGCAAAATCTACTTAACAATTGTCTTACATAGCAAGATTTTCTATGGATTTAACTTTATGCTGTATTCTAATTTTATGAAACCTTCTGACACCACCTAGTGGCATTACATGAGTTGCTAAAGTGACAAGGCACACTGATAGGCTAGGAACTAGATAAAAAATAATTTAAAAATAAATAAAAAGTTTTTGCAGCATAGTGACAAAAACATTAAAAACAATTACCAAAGGAATTATAAGTGGTGAAAGCAAGGAATTCAACAAAACTGCCAACAGTTCTGAAGAAGAGAGAATTGCTGCAAAGCAGAATGGAAACAAATATTTTTGCAAAGGTCCAGAAACTCCCCAGCCAAGCTACAAACTTCCATTACCTTGAGGGAAAAAATATGCTAAAATGAGACAATCAATTAATCAAATCTTTACTACAACTATCAGGTCATAAGTCAGTCAAATAAGAGGTTAAAAGGTATTAATTCAATACTGCAAATCATACATGAGTATATTTATTGCTAGAGTAAATTAGAAACAATATTGTTTGCATTTCTCAAAGTAGTATTTGAGTCAAAACAAGTTTTCCTTTAACATTTCTTTTTTCAAATTCTGTAGTCAAGTCTTTGAAATCTGTGTAAAAATCTTATATTCAAGAAAATGACTTAATTTAGTGAATCTTAGAAATGTGTGTAAAATATACATATTAATAGGAAGGGGCATATATAATCCATGCTCAAATTAAGGATATATTTCTTATTGTGTGATAATGAGGCAGAGGATACTTGAGGCCAAACAAAGGCCAAGATCCAGTCAATAAAGGAGATAAAAAGACGAGATAGCATGGATGGGAGAACTATACAAAAAGGACTCATGCATCATTTCTACATGCAGAGATAGAACCAGCAAGCTGGAACACTGCATTTCTTGGAAAATTAAATTTAAAGGGCCCTAAAATTTTGCTAATAACAATTCTGCAGACATTGATGGCATAGCAGAACTGTTGGAAACCATGCTACCCGATGCTATTGACATGCCGCTCACAGTTTGTAAGCAGGCACAGAAAATATATCAGTGGCCAAATAACTGGAAAAGAGAAGGCTATATTCAAATACAAAAAAGACAGTACTAAACAATGCTGAAACTACTGAACAGTAGTGCTTATCTCATGTTAGTAAGATCATGGTTAAGATTTTCCAGTCCAGATTTCAAGAATAAATGGAATGAGAACCTAGCACAAGTTTAAGCTGATTTCAGAAGCAGCAGAGGCACAAAACATCTGGTGGATAATGGAAAACGTAAGTTCCAGAAATAAATTTGTTTTTGCATTATTGAACATATTAAGGATGTTGGTGAGAGAGAAATAAATCAAATTGTGGCCCCCTCATCTGCATCCTAAGGAATTTATATTAACTAGGAAGCAATAGTCAGAACAGCATATGGATTAACTCATTGGTCCAAAAAGAAGAAGAATGCCAAAGTTATATACAATATGGTTACCCTTTCTGTTTAGTCTATATGCAGAACATATCTTGAGAAATGCTGGACTAAAATAAACAGAAATAAGAATTACAAATCCTGGAAAAATATTAATCTCAGGCTAATAAAACCATAATGAAGGAAGATCAAAGAACTTCTTGATGATTGGTCTGAAGTTTAATATTAAAAGAAACTAAAATTATGTCAATTGTAATGCAACCTGATGCAAATAGATGAAAAAATAATGGAAGTAATAATAGATCTTTATCTTCCTGGGCTGAAAAAGGCAGACGTGACTAAAACTGTGAAATAGAGAAATATGGGCTTCTTGGGATAAATAGTATGACAAAGCCAGGCAAAATCTTAGTAAGTAGAGATATTATGCTGACAACAAATTGTACACCCTGTAATTCTTCTAATTGTAATACATAGCTATGGAAGATGAACCCCCATAAAGGCTGAATGGAGAAAAATCAATGCTCTTAAATTATGGTGTTGAAGAAAATCATTACATAATATTTTGGAATGCTATCTTTATATAATTTAGGATGGCCTGGCCAATATTGAGAATGTTGGGTAAGGAGGGGATGCAGTGTCCATGGATAGTGAAAATGTCTGAGCATTGTATCTTCCTTGGTATAGATCCTGCATGGTGTGGTAATTTAAATAGTTTGGTTTTGGTGGATCTGGTTTGAGGGAGATGGGGGACAGTCTTTCACTCTATGAGTGAGTATGAGTAGCCCCTACATGGCTGAGTAGAGGCAGAAGCTTGGGGCAGGCAAGTCATGGGTCTCCACTACTCACAGTAGGTGGGGTTGGGTTCAGGAGTGGATTGGAAAGGAACATGGCTGCAATATACTTGTTTTATTGAGCCAAGGAAGTGGCTATTCTAAGGGGAAGAGAAGATTCCAATTGGTTGTGACTCATTTTTCTGACCCAATCCAGCTCACTGGGGTGTTGGCCCTCAGTTAAAGCTACTTAATGCCTGTCTGGCTGTCTATAATAAGACTATGTCCAGCTGTTTAAGGTGTGTATCACTGAGACCCAGTTGAATGAAAGTTGCCCTCTCAGAAATTTGCCCAACCAGGTTTCAAGTACAAGGGCCAAAAAATGTGATGGTGATTTGTCATCATATCTTACCTGAACTAGGATTGGGTTACCTAAAACTAAGTAGTTGATTATGAGTACCTGTGTATTATGTTAGGCCAATCCTAAAAGAGCAACTTTCAGCTGTAAAATTAAATGTGAATGCCTCATATTCATTTCTATCCAAGGACAGAAGGAAAATAATTCAATTCACAATTTACCTAATCTACACCTTCTAAGATATAAAATATATTTAAAGTTGATCATCAGTATTTCCATGTGTACTTATACATTGGGCAAAAGACAAAAGGGAATTAATGTTAAAAAACCATTCCATTAAAAGAATTTTACCCAAATCAAATTGAAGAAGGGAGGGTATATCTATAAGGTATTAAAATATATGTCAATTTAAATTAATGTACAATTTAAGCTAATTTTTAAATGTTTTATAGTTTAAATCATAAATTTTGATTTAAATCATTATACATTGAAGTATATTATGGGTTTAATTTCTTTCTTTATCCCCAATTTGATTTCTCCTCTGATTTCCCTACTTGCTATCACTCCCAGGAATGTTTAGTCTTTTACGTATAACCTGTCTCTAGACTTGAATGATCTTAAAAAGCTAAGCAGGGTTGGGCTCAATCAGCATTTTAAGAGGGATCCTTAATCAAGATTGTGAAAAACATTACAGAATGCAAAGAAAACTGCCTTATGTTGCCAAGAAAACAAACAGGAAGATTTGCCTTTGATGCCACCAACAATAGTGCTCCGATAAATCTTCCGCATTTGAAAAAGCTCAGCCGAGTCAGAGGCTCCTACTTAATATTTGGATGGGAGAACACCAGATAATATCAGGGCTCTAGAATGATCAAAAAACATCCCGGATTATACAACATGATTATACAACTCTAGTTCGCCTGACTCGAGTTGAATTCCTATTGAGGGCTTCCCGCGGAAGGGTCCTGACTCAACCTCAGCTTACGGGTCCCCGGAGTCAGAGGCCCTTTTACAGCGCCTGAAGCCGTTTCAGCTGCTGACCGGCTTCTCCCTTGCTCCGAGGCTGCGTCCCTCCCACGCCGAACGCCAGAGGGCAGGCGGTGCACCGCGAAGCCAACCCAAAGCATCGGCCCGCCGCTCTGGCCCCATCGATGGGGGCGGCAGCTCTGGGCTCGGCTTCCCGGCCCTTTCTCTCGGCTCTGGATTAGTGAAACTGGCGACGTGGGACAGTCCCCCAGGCCGTTCCCTGGGCGCTTCCAAGCGGGACTCCGGCGCTCGGTTGGGGAGCGCGACTGCCGAAGGAGAGGGCTGCCTTTCGTGCCTCCTCCCTCCAGGCGTCTTCCCTGAGGAGCAGCGGAGAGGAAGGGGAGCGCAGGGTGAGGCTGAGGAGGCGCGCCGGGAGAGGGAGGCGGACCGGCCGTTGGCCCGCCGCAGGGGCGGGCAGCGCGGCCGGCTGGGGGCGCGAGCTGCGCCTGTTCGGCGGCGCTGTGAGGCGGCCCTTCGGCTTCCATCCCTGTCTGGGCGGCGACCAGAGCGGGCGGCGGCGGCAGGGTCATGGCTTTGCTGCGGGCCCGCGCGCTGTACGACTTCAGGTCGGAGAACCCGGGCGAGATCTCGCTGCGCGAACACGAGGTGCTGAGCCTGTGCAGCGACCAGGAGATCGAGGGCTGGTTCGAGGGGGTGAACAGCCGCGGCGACCGCGGCCTCTTCCCGGCCTCCTACGTGCAGGTCATCCGAGCTCCGGCGGCCGAGCCGGCGCTCCCACTGCCCGCGCCGGTCCCAGCCCGCTACGCGAACGTGCCGTCCGGCGGCTTTGAGCCCCTGGCGGCGCCGGCCACCGCCTTCAACCCCCCGCCCGCCCAGCATCACCAGCTGCCTCCGCCGGCAGCCGAGCCCTTCCAGCTGCCTCCGCCGCCCGTCTCGTCGGGCTTCTCCTCCTTCCAGACTGTGCGCTCCTACGGCGGCTCTTCTTACCAAGCCAGCCAAGGCAGCGACGACGACTGGGACGATGACTGGGACGACAGCTCTACAGTGGCGGACGAGCCGGGCGTCCTGGGCTGCTCCTACCCGGACTACGAGAATGCGGCGATGGGCGGCGGCGGGGCGGGCGGCTCTGCCAGCAGGTATTCCCTTTCCACCCGGTCCGATCTGTCGCTGAGCTCCCGGAGCAGCCAGCCTGGGGGCCCCTTGCATCACCCGGCCGGGGGCGCCAAGAGCTCGGCCACCGTGAGCCGCAACTTGAACCGCTTCTCCACCTTCGTGAAATCCGGAGGCGAAGCTTTTGTGCTGGGTGAAGCGTCGGGTTTTGTGAAGGACGGGGACAAGCTCTGCGTAGTTCTGGGCTCCTATGGGCCCGAGTGGCAGGAGAACCCTTACCCTTTCCAGTGCTCTATTGAAGACCCCACCAAGCAGACCAAATTCAAGGGCATGAAGAGCTACATTGCCTACAAGCTGGTGCCAAGCCACACAGGACAGCAGGTGCATCGGCGCTACAAGCACTTTGATTGGCTGTATGGCCGGCTTGTCGAGAAGTTCCCGGTCATCTCAGTACCCCACTTGCCAGAGAAACAAGCCACGGGGCGTTTTGAGGAGGACTTTATCTCCAAGCGCCGCAAGGGCTTAGCATGGTGGATGGACCATATGTGTAGCCATCCGGTGTTGGCCCAGTGTGATGCCTTCCAGCATTTCCTCACTTGTCCGAGCACTGATGAGAAGGCCTGGAAGCAAGGCAAGCGCAAAGCTGAGAAGGATGAGATGGTGGGTGCTAACTTCTTCCTGACCATTAGTGTCCCTGCTGGTGTCCCTGCTGCTCTGGACCTGCAGGAGGTAGAAAGTAAAGTAGATGGCTTCAAAAGCTTCACCAAAAAGATGGATGACAGCACCATTCAGTTGAACCAGACTATCAATGAGTTTGCCCGCAAGCAGGTTGCTGGGTTCAAGAAGGAGTACCAGAAAGTAGGACACTCCTTCAGGGGCCTCAGCCAAGCCTTTGAAATGGACCAACAGGCCTTTTCAGTTGGCCTCAATCAGGCCATTGCCTTCACCGGGGAAGCTTATGATGCTATTGGTGAACTCTTTGCAGACCAACCCAGACAGGACCTGGACCCAGTGATGGATTTATTAGCTCTGTATCAGGGACATCTGGCCAACTTCCCAGACATAATCCATGTCCAGAAAGGTAACGTAAAGCTTCCATTGTATAAATATATCTTTTTAAAAAAAACTGATGTAAATGGCATGGACACAGATCTTTCCTGTTGTTTTTTACTTATTGATAAAAATATCCCAAATGAGTGATTTACATCAATCTATTAAGAAATACAAAAGTGTTTTGAACTGTACAGTAATAACTGTATTGTTGCCTAGATTTCTATCCATTAGTTTCTTGCATAGCTGTGACACAGGCTGTGTTTTCTAGGTTTTCTGATCTTTTGATTTCACTGTTTATATGTACATGGGCACACAGAAAGAAAGAAAAAATCTGTAAACTGAGAATAAGTTTCTTCATATTTGTCTCAGATGATGTACATTTTAGATTGCAATCCTACATATATTTAATTAGACCTGAACTCCACTAAACATAGTAACTTCCATTAAATCCATTAAAGTATATACTTTATTAACAATCAGATAATGTTTACAGAACCATGAGATTTCAAGTGATGGGATGGAGGATGGGGTTATCATAACTAGAGCCAACTACATACTCATTTTTCACTTGCAAAAATTGAGAATTATTTACCATCTTAGTTACTATGATGGTACAATATTTTTTGTGTGTGTGTGCACACATGTGTGTATTGGGGAGGGGGAATTCTCTGACTCCCACCATCCTGCCCCCAGTATCTATTTCTCCAGATGCTTAAGGAATGCAGAACCTTTGTCTTTTATCTTACAGATTTTAGCAAGGAGGGAGATGAGACTTCTTATACCCCCAGCTAGGTGGAGAGTTCTTGACCAAAATTTTGGATCCTTTAATTCAGGAAACTCCTAATGAATCACTCAGAAATTAATAATGGCCAGCAACAATCACAATACAACTAACTAGGCATATACATGACTAGAGATAATTAATGGCTCCTTTTCTTTGTTATTTTCATTTAAATGTGAAGCTGCATATTTGTTAATGCTGGCAGATATATTTTGAATGTGAATTCTCTTATAAAGAATGGAGTTGGGGAACAGAGAAGAGAAATAGTTGCGTGTTTACATGGACATGTGAGATCCATCCTTCATCTACCTGCATTTTTTACTTATTTTCCTTATTTCATTAAAAGTTCATTGTACTTCAGTAAGTTTTGGGCAGTTTACAAAACATGATACTTAGTAAAAACAGTTAAAACCATAAACAAAACCAAACTAAAAACAACCACAGTAATAGAGACATGCCAGCAGCATACACACAAACATTAACCCCAGGCCTATATGTAAGATAGTTGTCTGCCTAAAATTATTTAGCTTTCACAGCCAATTTAAAAATGATTTCTTTTTTTTAAATTTAAAATAGTTGCAACTCATATATTCTCTGGCTTCATTATCATAGTATGGTTGCTGCTACCCTATATTTGACGCAAATCACAGATTCTTCCTGTTTTTATTCTGTTCAAGTACAAGACTGAGAACAAGGCTGTTGAGCCATTCTGGGCAAATGCCAATTTGTGTGTGCCAGTGTATGTGTGTGTGTAATCTGAGGCAGTCATGGGCTCTGAGCATCAATCATGGATGCTCAGCTTACAAGAACAAAGTAACAACTCAAGTGATCAGATTGGCTTTGGGGAAATACAAAAGTGCATCAGATGTCATATTTGGAAAATAAACAGTTCTGTCCTTTTATGTGGTCTGCCTGTGTGCCTATCATTAGAGTCTGCTACCACGGCAAAACAATAACATTGCCAGAGAGTGGTTAAATCACATGTGAATGATAGCAAGAGATTAAGAGTAGATCTTACTGTTTGCTTGCTTAGATTCAGAAGAGGCAGAATAGAAGGGGAGTTCTATCTTTGGGATAGAATCCAGAGTTATGTATATTATAAATCTGTTATGAATGTAAGTAATAAGTTCCAGTGTGGAAGATTTAATTTGGATTTGAGTCATATTTCTTGGCTCACTGTATTTCTGTTCCTATGTATTCTTCTTCCCCAAGGATCAATTTCTATGTTTAGTTTCTAGGAAGTTATGATAGTGAAAAATTACATGAATTCTAATGTTTTGTCATTAAGAACTCTTCTATGAGAACTTTGTTCAGATAAATTTGTAAACTTAGTTTTTATTTATAATGGTATGTTTATCACACTTGTATATGATTTCCTTTTTAGTTTTAATCTGCTAATGTATTCTTCTAAATAAATAGGAAAAGATAAGGGAAAAAGCCTTCATCTGTGGCTGGTATTGGGTTTGATTTAAGGGATTTTTTTGTCATGTAGATGGAAACATTTGATGTAACCAAACATTGAGAAGGAAGAGAAAGATAATACTCAGGCTGTTGAAATAAAATCTCTGAGGAATGTGAAAAGACATTTATAATAGTTTAAACACTTGAGTGATTCAGGTTTAAATGCAAAATATATATTGTAATTATTAATACAGTATTTCAGCTTTAGAAACTTATTCATGTATGACTATAGCAAAACTACTGTGATTGGATAGATGAAAGGATGAATAAATAGTGATAGTGCTATCATTATCATTCTAATTTAAAATTGGAATCAATATAGATTTTTCAAGGACAAATTATTTGATTTCTGTAATATAAAACTGATAAAAGACCACTATCCTAAATATTAGTTTGGATATTCTCATGTTTTTTGTGGCATCGTGACAAGAGAACAAGAAAAGCAATTGAATTGCTTTCCTCAGTTTTTCTTTCTTGAAGAATTTTCAGAATAAGCCAGCTGTAGGATAATTGCTTTAATCAAGTAATGTGATCTCTATTACATTTCAGTGCTATTCTTCGGACTCATTTAAGGTAAGGCCTGGACAACCAGTGCCAGTGTGATTAGTGTTTAAATACTATTGTCAGAATCCAATCATATTTCATCTTTAATTATCAAATATAGAAACTCCCAATTCTGCCTTCTTTGGATTCTGCCATAAGAGGGAGAGAAGGGGGAGAACAAAAGGGCTTTATGGCCCTCACTTCCTTCAGTAGACTTCAAAGAGCTGAATGCTGAATGTGTGTTTATTGTAACCTATTGTAACCTCAAAGCGTTAACACCAGAGAACATTAGCATTAACAAAGAAGAGTATTTGCCTTTCATGTAGTTATCTGAAGTCTCCATCCAGACGGAAGAAAGAAGAAACGGGGTGGAATTGTGATACTTGAAACTATCACTGGAAGGGGGGTTGATTGGGTGGGACTACTGGGGAACCCCTTAAAACCTTGAATGGGAGAGCTTGGACCCCAAGTCCTGTCTAGCATGCCTGCAACCATTTTCTCTTAATAAAGGATTCCTTTTGGAAGAACTATTCCAAGAGTTCTGTCTTCTTAAGATGCAAAGTGGGGTGGGTCCTTACATTAGACAGGACTTGCAAAATTAATCCACCTGGAAGGTAGACCCTTGCCGGGGGATTTTGCAAAAATTTACCATGTCAGACAACGAAGCAAGAGAGGGAGAAAACTCCCTGGAAAGAGAGCCGCTGACCCAGTTGGAACCTTGCCAGATGTTGGGATCCGAGAGGCCAGATTTCTCAGAAGAAGAAGTGGTGGAGACACAGGACCACAAGCCTCACTGGTCGATGGGCGTTGGAAAGAAAAGCGAGTGGGGAAAGGAATCAAGAAAAGTGACCCTGAGACGGGGGACCAAGCAACCAGAATGGAAGCAGGAGATGGAGAAATCCCTGCACGCAAGTGAAGAGGGAGGAAGCTGTATGCCGTACTCAGACTGGATCCTAGAGAGAGCTATTGACCTGATGAAGAGAACTCTCAGCTCCCTAGGAGAGGAGATTCCTGAGCCCTACGCCCGCCCCAGTTCCTGGAGCCACAAAGGGAGAGACACCGAGGGGGACGTGGAACCTGCAACCCCAGGGACATTTACTGATCCAGGAGCTCCCACCCCCTACCGGACCCAAGATGGAAATCTGGACGGAAGACACTACCACCCACAATGGAGGCACCGATCCATTCCAAGACGTCCACCGTTGGAGGTGAAATTCAAAGGGGAGCCAACACGCTTGGGGTTTTTCCTAACCCAAGTCCTCAGCTACATGGAGGAATATGGGCAGGACATCCCCAGCGACAAAGCCCGCATCCGGATCGTGCAATCTGCCCTGGATGGACCAGCTGCAGATTGGGTGGTGAACCTGCATGACTCCAATGCCCCAGAACTCAGTAACTTCAACCGTTTCATGTCCTCTTTGAGAAGACGATTTGAAGACCCCCTGGCTGATCGCAAAGCCCGTGAAAGAATAACAACGATGAGGCAGGGCAAACGCCCAGTGGCTGAGTATACACAAGAATTCCGAGCCATTGCCAGCAAACTGAATTGGCCAGAAGACATCCTCCTTGGCCGTTTCAAAGACGGACTAAACTATGATCTATATGATGCTTGCCTGCCCCGAGGAGACCCACATCGACTTGAGGAATGGTACGTCTTGGCAGAGGAAGCAGAGATCGACATATTGAAGAGGCATCGCCGAGGAAAACAATGGAGCCGCCCCCCGCCTGAGCTGACACACCAACCGGTGAAATCATCGGATACAGCCAAGAAGCAGATGGGGTGTTTCAAGTGCGGAAGAGAAGGGCATCGAGCTGTAGAATGCCGCTCAAAGGCCCCCAGCACAACCCAGACAGATCCCCAATCAACAAACCCAGAGGGTATTCAGCTAAGCCAAAAGAAACAGCCATGAAAATGATGGAAATTGCAGAAACCCCCACCTCTGCTCACCAAGGGGAAAGAACTCCAGCCTACACCACAGGGACGGTGGATGCCTCAGATGACAGCTCGGAAGGCGAACCCCTGGTAAGTGGACGCATCACACCCATCTTCAAAACAGTGACTATATTAATCCCCCCCATGCCCGAAGCTGTGAAGGTGAAAGCCTTAATAGACTCTGGCTGCACCCGCTGCCTCATTAGCCCAACACTAGTGGGGAATCTGGGCATCCCATCCAGGAGACTGGAACAACCAATCTCATTTGGCCAGCTAGATGGATCCATAGCAGGGGGGGTGCCAGCTACCC